CGCGTACGCTCGTTTATCGGCTGGTGAAGGCCATATAGGTCAGTGATGTCCGACAGCAAGCAAGAATTAGTGTCAGACTGAAGCTATGTTGCAATTTATATCTCCCATTAAATAGAATTCGACATTTTCGGAATCCAGACGTCCAATAAGATTTTCTAGAGATGAGAATACTTCATTGGGAGAATAAGGTTGCCTGTAAGTAGTGGATAAGGCACCGGTTACGCCGGTTTTTTGCGGGGGAATTTACAAACTTGCGAGGAAATACATTAACGCCGGTGACGTCATACGTTTCATTAAGATAGGATGATGTCATAGTTTAAATTAATGCCTATGACGTCATGCATTTCATTAAGATAGGATGATGTCATAGTTTATTTGTAGCTGGCAAGGAGCAAGTGACGTCAAAATTTCCTAGAGTTGACGTCATCAAAAATGTTGAGATCATAATCTATAAACAGAAAAGTGATTTTTATATAATTAGCTATTTGCTATAGTCTTCTGATTAGATATTGTTTGCTATAGTCTTCTGATTGGATATTGTAGAAACTGTTATGCATTCAAAATAAAAGCGGGCAAATTTTGAACGTGTTATCTCCCTTAAACTTTTTGACCAGTCCCTTGGTAACCTCATTGTTATGAGGGAGTAACACATACTCAACTAGCTCGGGGATGTGTGTGACGGGAATAGTGCGTTTATTTTTGAAGTAATTTTCCGCTGGGAGTCCACAAAAGAATATCTTTGGACGCGGCCATACTATGCAGCAAATCAGAAGCACGCTTTTCCGACACTGCTCGGGAAAGATGACTCAAAACATCTTTTATTCTTGGTGCTCTTTTATTCTTGGTTCTTCATCCTCGCTTTCATCACCAGGACTTTCGCTTTCTTCATGTACACTCTCGTGCTCTTCTTCAACCAAATCTATCTTTCTCTTCATTTTGATGAGTACCCGTGACAGACTTAGCTTCAAATGAGTAACTTATAGTTTCGTTTCCTCTTTTATAGCATCAAAAATCCTAGGCTTGTAACAGCAGGTACCAATAGGTCTTGAATAAAACCATCACCCTCTTGTACAAGGATTCGCTTCTTTGTCTTGTAAGGGACATTTGTTTCTGCTAGGTTTACTAAAGCATCCTTCTATGGCAACACCTTCCGCTTATTTTCGTCGGGGATAAGAATGTATTCCTTAAGTATATTGTATAAGACTTGGACTAATGCATGTAGTTGTTGTGGACTTTCTGTCCGTAAAAGAAACTGTCGCTGATGGCAACAAACAGCTAAGAATTGAAGAAAACCACGATTGTTCTTGACAACTTGAGACATTGCGACAAACTGAAGTTATGATAGTAGCTTGCAGTCTTTTATTGACTGTGGTGGAGAAAAACAATGGAAATGTGGTGGCGGTGGTGGTGGTGGAAGAAAACAATGAAAATGTAATGAAAATGTGGTTGTGGCGGTGGTGGTGGTGGAGGGAAAAAAATAGAAATGTGGTGGCGGTGGTGATGGTGGTCGTGGAGGGAAAACAATAGAAATGTGGTGGCGGTGGTGGTGGTGGTCGTGGAGGGAAAACAATAGAAATGTGGTGGCGGTGGTTGTGGAGGGAAAAAAATAGAAATGTGGTGGCGGTGGTGGAGGAACACAATAGGAAAGTGGTGGTGGTGGACGAAAACTATTGAATTTTATAGCCTTCAAAACTATATCAATGCGCATTATGCTACCATTTTCTGAGTCTACATACTGCTCCTGAGGAGTTGACATGAGTTGGTTCTGTTCCGTTTGCGAAAAATCATTTAGTAGAAAGGATAGCATGCAAAGGCACTTGATGTCTAAACACCACAATGTTGGTCTCACACCATTTCAAACAGTTCCGTTTTCACAGAAATGTCAGCGGTTTCGATTCGAGCATCCTTTTACCTCCATGATTGCCGGAATGACCGGGTCAGGAAAAACGGTCTGGGTTCGATCTCTATTGCAACAAGCTTCAGAGACAATTTGCCCTCCCCCGGAGGGGATTGTTCGGTGTTATTCACAATAGCAGCCTGCGTATACACAAATGCTAGTCGCCATGCAAACACATTGAATTCGTCAAGGGAATTCCTACGGCTTTGGAGCAGGATTCCTATTTTGATGTAAACAAACGGAATTTGATCGTGTTTGATGACCAAATGATTGACACCAGTAAAGACAAGCGAATTGTGAACCTCTTTACTCGTGGTTCTCATCATCGCAAGCTAAGCGTGATTTATATTGAGCAGAATCTATTTCACCAGGGGAAAGGTAGTCGCAGCATAAGCCTAAGCAGCCATTATTTGGTGTTATTCAAGAACCCACGAGACCAATTGCAAATCTTGACTCTTGCCAAGCAAATGTATCCTGGACAAACTGATTTCTTTTTAAATCAGTAAGAGGAGGCTGTATAAAGACCTTTTGGTTATCTGCTGATTGACCTGAAAACCACTACCCAAGATAATTGTCGACTACGAACAAATGTCCTGCCCAGTGAAGAAGGTTTTAACCAAGCAGGGTTTCAAGAAAATATTCTTCAAGAGCTTTTAAAATATCTAAAGCAGCAAAATCTTTCGTCTGTCCAACTTTTTCCAGCTATGCAAGAAATACAGGGCAACATGGATGACTTGCTTTCTCGAAACGATCTTCGGGACGATGAAAAAGCTAAGAGATACTTTCAGTTGCAACACAGATACCTGGCTTTTAAAGAACAATTACATACAAGAACACGACCGGAAGAAATAATCAGCACTGTTCCAGACTTAACATCAAGCACACAAGATTCTTCCACAGGAACGGCAGCATTCTCCACTCCCACTAACCCCTTCAACGTAACACTTAAATTAACACAAGCGGCTATCTTACAAAAACCTGAAAACGAAAGCTCCACCCCACAACTAACCTTAAATCCCGCTTTCCTGACCCCTCCTCCCACAGTAGAAACCCCATCACAAGGCCCGAAGCGCAAAAGGCGTCGGATTCAATTTGTAAATTATTTGGATGATCATAATGCCCATGGCAAACACAGGAAACGAACTCGGCTTAAGAAATTTCGAGTTAGACCTTACAAGTACTCCATGGGCGAAGAAGATGATTATTTGACTCTTTTTGTCACTGGCTTTCAATAAAGTTTTAAACCGTAACTCGTGTCTTGTCAATTTATTTGTCGTATGTTTTAATTGATCCTTGTTAAGTTGTTAATTGTTTGTGTTTTTTAATAATACAATACTTTATTTCAAAATAGCAAGCATAATAATAATAAGTCAAGTTTCTCCTTAGGGGTTTTTACTGTTGAGCCAATTTGTATGCAACTGAGGGCTTCTTAACCCGCATAATTAACTGACTAACAGCGCGTGAATTGACAAGACCATAAGCTCATCAAGCGCTGAGATTTCAATAGTCAGTCGTTTCCTCGAGATAGAAAGGAGAAAACTCTTTTGTAATGGTGAGTCAAAATTAAAATAGAGAGTTTTCAGCTCCACTCTGTGTATGTGTGTGTGATTTGTTTATATATCCGATTTTTAGCGCTAAACGAGAAGACATGTGTTGCTAGGCGATCGCACCTCTTATTCCTATCTTTTTTTTAATAGACGTTCCACTTATTAGTTACTAGAATGGAGTTTATTCAAGAAACAAAAGAGTTAGGGTTTACTTTAGAACCACCTGTTGTTTTCTATAGAATTTTTATACCCTGTGCAATATCTTCTTCAGAGTCCAGTAAACAAAGATTGATATTTTTGCTCGATAGGCAGTTTTTCGCTTCGCTGAGCTTCGACCTCGCTTTCATGTTTTGCCCGAAAAATTAGTACGATTTCGCATTCGCTTAACCTCCTTTTCCCTTCTTTTGAAGTAACGATTTTTCAGTTAACCTCCGTGTCTTGGTTTTGCTTATAACCGATTTTTAGTGAAAATAATTTAATTATTAAAGATTTTTCATTTAGTATAATCTAGAAAGATAACACGTTCAAAATTTGCCCGCTTTTATTTTGAATGCATAACAGTTTCTACAATATCCAATCAGTAGACTATAGCAAACAATATGTAATCAGAAGACTATAGCAAATAGCTAATTATATCACTTTTTTGTTTATAGATTATAATCTCAACATTTTTGATGACGTCAACTCTAGGAAATTCTGACGTCACTTGCTCCTTGCCAGCTACAAATAAACTATGACATCATCCTATCTATATGACATGCATGACGTCAGCCAGCTAAAAATAAACTATGACATCATCCTATCTTAATGAAATGCATGACGTCATCGACATTAATTTAAACTATGACATCATCCTATCTTAATGAAATGTATGACGTCACCGGCGTTAATGTATTTCCTCGCAAGTTAATGAAATTCCCCCGCAAAAAACCGGCGTAACCGGTGCCTTATCCACTACTCCTGTACCACGTGACAATAACAAACGGTTTTGAATTCGGTTTTCTGATTTCAAGACAGAAATTTTCTAGATTGTTTATATGTAGATCTGTGGGTACAGAATAGTTAATGGCGGTTTTGATATAGAAGCAAACACCCCCGCCATTTCTCTTTCTGTCGCGTCGTACTATCTCGTATCCGGGTGTACAGATTTCAGAATTCAGTATACCTTCATCTAGTCTCGTTTCATTGATTGAGATAACATCTAAAGGATAATTGGCAAGCAGAATTCTAAGTTCATCGATATGCTTAGTCAAGCTAGTTATGTTAAGAAAAGCCATTTTAAAGCCACGTCTAGTAGGCAAAAAATTGTTGGTTAGATCTGGGGGCGGGGGTATCTTTTAGTAACTTCATTTATCATGTGTAATGGTTCTCTCGGAAGACACGGCAATTCATTAGGAATTCGAATATTTTTAACAAAACTTACAAAATCAGAAGCAAACGCCTTGGATCCGGACAAATTTAGACGAAGCCCGCTAGAATTTAGGTGTTCACGTGTAATATTAGGATGGGAGATAATTTCCCAGTCATTTTTATCGGCAAACGTTCTTAGAAAGCTATTAATTAACCTGTTTAGCCTTTGAGTTCAAAGCGGGGTCATCAGTTCTTGGTAATAAGTTCGGAATTGTTACCTTTGTGTTGGAAGATTCGGCTTCAATTAAATTTCCTAGATAGACAATTCGTTCAGCAACCTTCCTAGAGTCCGAGTTCTTCAAATCGTTTGTTCTCACGTGAAGAATAATTTCTTCAGGGTGATGCTTGATTGTAGGTTTGATGTAATAAAACATGTCTTCAACGGAGGCTCCAGGAAAAGCTTTATCCACCGTTTTGACTTTAATTCATACCTTTAGAGACCCTCCAGCCTTGAAAATTTTTAATCAATGAATCTCCTGCGATGACTACAGCAGGTTTCTTGGAATTCATTTGATCAGAGTTTGTATCTGAACTTGGTTGAGGTGGCCATTGACCGCATCTTTTTGGTATTCTTTGCGGCATTTTCGTTCAAATGCGAATCTTGTGTGTTCTTTTTCTATTTCACCTCGACCAGCTCCCAAAAAGCCTCTTCCGTAGTTTGTCGTGCATTTCGATCTCTTTTTTCGGTTTGCAGGTTAAAGCATTCAAATCTTTGTTCCCTTTATGTTCACGATCAGGGCCTCAATGTTTCCATGCAAGGTTAAAATTGGTAGGAATGTTGCTGATACAATCAAAGCAAACAAGGCTAATTAACCCAGTGATGCACGACAGTACTTTTTACGGCTTTGAGTGATTTTCTAACAGTCCGTAGGATTTCGTGACTCCGTATTTGGGATTACCACGAAACGTAGTGCTGTTCTCAAATACAGACGGCTCGAATTTTCTGGAAACACCATTCTGACGGAGTCATTTTGCTTCGTTGAGTTATAATAACTGCTCAAGAACGGTTTGTATTCGATTTTGGGAAAGTTTATTTTTAACCATTTTTCATCTTTAGTGGCTGCCTGATAGGCAACCTTAAGCGTGACAGTCGCTAAGAGTCCACTTTCTCAAAGAAGCGAGTAAGGAGATATACTTCGTTTGCGAATTTGACCTCTTGCTCTTGGATCTGGAAAAATGACCACTGAAAATCACAACAAGTTCAAACTTTACATTGCAGGTGAGAGTGGTTGTACATACAACATGCAATGCAGTCGTGATTTTGAAAATCGAGGCAAGGCCAGGATGCACTAAAACAAAAGGCTGCTGCAGCTCGGCCCGGGAAACGAATAAGAACAAAAGTAACTTTTACAGCGCTTACCACTAAGACGCGCCTTTGAAGGGTTTTTTTCTGTCTTTTTAAACCTGAGTTTTCGTGGACGTCAATCAACTGTTTCCATTGTTTTCCACGCGCTCTGACAGAGAAGGTTCCCTCATCGCTGAATAAAGGGCGAATAATTTCGAACGAAGACGGTTTTTTTAATTATTTTTTTAAGATGAAGGATTACATTGTTAAAACAACGAGGTCTCTGCGAGCTGAGTGAAATAGCCGAAACATTCTCTATATTTTACGTAACGGTTTTCAGGTTGTTTATTTATTTGATGTATGAAAACACGGGAGCCGTGGACGACTGAGTTGCCAAGGAGCTAAGCTAGTGTAAATTCAAAGAAACAAAAGATATCACACCGAAAAGGGAAAAGGTTTCCTCTGAATGGAGGCTGTTTTCGAAAATGAATTTTACTACTTATCATTCTTCATGTTATCGAATAGAAACCAGAACTAGCAAGAACTCAGACGAGTTGCGAGCGATTGAGAAAGCTTATGTGGCTGTAACTTACAGTGTGTAAATATGTCGATAATTTGAGTTTCCTTTGAGAAACACTCAACAAATTCTTTTTCCTCGTAATCTTGACATGAAGCGGTTTCAGATCCTGCAGCAAAATATTGCAAAAACGGCTGAAACGCCGACATGTTCTTCCGAGTGCTCAAGAAACGGAGAAAAAATCTTCTCTAGGCCAACGCGTGAAAAACCAGGGTAACGGTTGATTGACGTTCACCAAAACGCAGGTTTAAACCGAAGAAAGAACCCTTTGAGGGCACGTGTTAGTGGTAACCGCTGTAAGCTACAACAAGGAACTGAATTTTACTGTGGATGTCGAATTTGGGTTTGCAACGATGACTTCTGTAAAACAACCTGAAGGCAAATTAAAAAAAAACGCGTATTGTGTCGTTTTTTATGACGTTAAAAACGGTCATTTTTGTTCTTGTACAAATTGAAAAGGTGATAGTTTGCAAGAAAGCTGACTTTTTTGTGTTTATTGGATATTCCAATTTGATGGACATTCTACTCAATGCTCGAAACTGATCGATCGCGCACAGAAGGAAATAACGTGTTTCCGTATTTTGTAAACTCGACGGAAACGTGAAGTTGCTTAAATCCGTCACGTTTCCGTCCTGCGGAAACATGGTGTTCTAGTTTTCCATGGATGGGACGCGTTTCCGTTATGTTTCCGAGTCGGAAACGAACGATCATGTTTCCGCCACATTTCTATTATCACATTTCCGTTCTTTCTTGTTCACGTTACGTTTCCCGTGACGTTTTTTTTAAACCCATGTCCAAGATCGCATGATAAATATTTCAGAAATTTTGCCTTTGCGTACAATCAAGGTGAATAAAGGTAAAAATTTACTCTCGAGATCGGGCCACTAAACGGTTCTCATGCATTAAATACTCGCGCGCGTTGCATTGATGCAAAGACTTTGAAGTGCGCGAGGTTGCCACTGTTTTCGATTCTAAGTGATTAAAATCGCAGAGAATACCAACAGCTATTGCCAGATTGATCTCAATCAGCACTGGCGTAAAACTAAAATGATCTTAGACTGAGAAAACAAGAGAGAATGGAGAGAATGGGGCCTAGAACAGAGCGGAGTGCTGGTCAGCGGACGTTTCTTTCGCTCATGCTCATTGCGGTCGTTCTTTTTGGCGTCCAGTTTGAAAGTGATTGCAACGGCTTCAAATTTGCCAGCTTCTGTGGATTCTAGGAGCGTGGGGGAGTCTGTATATTTTTGCTTTCCGATTGCGCCACAAGACATTTAAGTGTCATTGTCTGAGAAGGTGTTCCAGGGGACAAAAGTTGTGCTCAACCGATTTGGCTGAAACTTGGCACAGAAGTTGGGTATGATGAGATATTTCAAAAGCCACTTTGGCTCACTTCTCTGACTTTTAGTTTTGAAGTTACAGGGGGGTCTCATTTTTTGCCCTTTGAGCACCAAAAATCCAGCCTTCCAGGGGGCATTTTGAAAGTGTCATAAGACCCCACTGGTAAATTGTGCTGCCAAATGAATTTGAACGTGAACTCTACTATAATAGAGCTTTCAGTTCATGCATGTAACTTTGTCCTCAAGATATTGCACAGAGAGGAGCCTTGGGCTAGAGTTTAATCAAAATTGATGTTAACATTAAAACCCAAAATAGCCATTTTTCAAAATTTAACTATATTCACCTGCCTTCTTGCATAACTTCCATACCTATTCCACTGTTTACTTTAGTCACCCAATTATCAAAATCAGTTGAGAAAAATTTGGCTTATTATGGTTTATTGAATTTTTGGAACAAACACTTCATGCCCCTCTAAGGCGATGCAAAATGGAATTTTGAGCATAATTCAGGCCATAAACAAACCAAATTGTTGACAAGAGGCCCTAATTGTGTATTTGGTAAATGAAAATGAATTGTCAAAGCCAAATCAGTTTCGTTGTTTAGAAATACACCGATTCTTACCTTTAAATTGATGTAAAACGGGCCTTTGATTAGGACAAAAAACACATGATTTAGCGAAACAAAGGTGATTGTATTCTTTGAAAACCTAGCAACCACCATGGGAACACAAATGATGATGTTCTGACATAGATATAACGACCTTTTTACAAGATGCCTAAATTTTTCGTTGATTTATATTCAGTTTCACGCCATATTTCTAAGCATTACTCCAAGCATGTGAAGTCTCCATATTTTATCAGGCCCACTTTTTTTATATTTTTACCAGATAAATTTAGCTTATCAAAAGGTTCGTTAACATATAATCTTCGTCTGACTTTGTAATAACCTGAATAGTTGTTGTAAATACCCATCAGCAAAGGAGCATGACCATACTTACATAGATTATTCAAACATAGACGAGAATCAGTGAGCAGTATCGAGGTGAACTGTGATTTTCCGAGTCCTTTAGAGCTGAAAAAATGAAACCATCTATCCACAGTAAGGAGAGCTGGATAACAAAAAGCTTTTGTTGCTTTTTTAAGGAAAATAACCCAAACAAAGCCTTGCATTGAGATGATGCAATTGTTATTATATCAAATTAACTACCCGCCATTTTGGACTTGGAGAGTGTGGGGACTGGACCGATTTCCCGTCCAATCCTTCTCCTGTTGAATTTTTTTGTGTTTTACATCAGTTGTGTTCGAAGTTCTAGATGGTGATCTATTTCAGGATGATTTTACGATGGCATTTTATTCCTTTGGGACCTTCCTTTGGAGGGGTGAATGACCAGTGCAGTGTCACGTAGTGGGCTGTGCAAGAAACAGGAATGCTTCCTTTGTTGTCTTGCGATAGCGCTATGACTGCATGGTTAAAGCACAAGTAGAAGATTTCAAGTGTGTCCGGAGAAGAAGAGGAAGACCTGGTGATGCCAAATCTACAGGTGATTCAAAAGATCAGTTAGGGATCATACACGCGCACAAATGTCTCTTATCGCGGTTTACGGGACTCCTTTACTTGAAGAGAGACGATGATATATGAGTTACGATATTGTTGTCTCAAATTGTTTGTTTATGGTTGATTGATTCCCTTGTTAATTTCCTGGGTCCTTACGAAGAGCACTAAACATTCAACAAACTCATCGCAGCAAAATCTTTATCAAGAGAAACAACAACAATAATAGGAATAACTTGAAGGCTGTTTTTTGTCTGCTCAAGCTGTTTCTTTACATTCGGCTTGTCACGTGGACACGCTTATAAAGCAATGCTAAGTTTGGCAATGCACAATTTCAAGCCGGCTTGCATTGAAACTCCACCGGTCTCCTTTATTTGCCTGTTTCGTCGAAGACAAGTAACCTTAAAATAGGCCTAGCTACATAATTCCGCAGGAATCGTTTTGGGAATCTTAGACACCAAAAAGAATTTTAGAAAATCTCAAGAATATTAGAAAAAAATTATAGAATACTAGAACTTGAATAGCAGTATATATAGGAGAGTACTGAATAGCAGTTTGAACAGTCAGCCGAATTTTGGTGGGCAAAAACGTTGAATCAAACGTTCTCATTTTTCTATATTTTTTCATTAAATTTTTAATTCAATAGTTAACATTATTTTAAATAATTTTTTAATTAAATAATGAAACAATTTTTTCTAAAAATATACACGAATCTTCCGTGCTCTTCCAGAACAATTCAGAGTCAGTTCCCATTCAAAT